GGGTGCGTGCAGTTGAGGTGTGCGTGCAGGTACGAATACGAATAGGTAGGGGCCTGAGATCGATAGCATGAGCATAAGGCATGTAGCCAAGAAAGCTATGGGTTTGTATGATTTTGCCGCAATTACGCTGGCAATGTGTAACACAGCCACGGTTGTATGTAATCACAAGCAGTAACTTGAAAAAACTGGAGTCAAGCTCGGATGCACGAACGATGGAAGGAGTAGTGATAGGATCTGCCGATCACGATCTGGCGGGCTCATCGATCCACTGAAGATACTGCATATTGGCCTGTACAATATAAAAAACACAATGGACATTGGTATACGAATTCAACTGAAAAAGGTAGCTGTGATCGAATAGCAAACGCCTGTGAGAATATCAGCACGGTTACCGACGAGAAACATGCTAATTAATTGAATAAACCGCTCAAAAACAAAAAGCTCGCACTTGGACCGGTATGCTGTACGCAAAACAAGCGAATCACAGGTGAACATATTATTCCCACAACCACAAGCAACGAGGGTGTAAGAAAATCATGTTTGGCATTGCGCAGTGAAATACAGGAAAGCGAATCTCATGCGTGGCTTATTGTAGAAACGGTGAATAGGAAATGGACCCGGTGTGTGGGTAGGAGCAATTAAATGTGCCACTATGATCAACACATAATGCATAGTCTAGCTGTTCAGTTAAACAGAATGAGGGTACCATTGCCGTCAGTTTGTTCTAAGTGTCTCTAAGCAACAGATTACAGAATCGTTTAGATTCCAGGATGAGACTTGACAGATATGCAAATCATACCTAATATTTCCGAGTAGTTCTTCAAAATTCCTTATTTTTAGCATCTAAGTGGTTTTCTTCATCATATTGGAAACGTAAAGCGATGCAGGGAACCAGTGACATGCACAACCAGAGTTGCCGACCCACAAGTTTTCACTGACTGCGAAGTCTCCCTCGGCACACAAATGCAGCACATTATATCTGGATGATACTAACCCGCTAGCTACACCTCACTTGACCATCGCAGGAGTCCACGGTGCTAGCACAATAGAGGAACTACATCATTGTTCCAGATTCAATTATGACTGACCATCCTTCAAAATTCCAATGAGACACAGCAGCACTGATAAGAACTGCCTGTAGTTAAGTAGTAGTGCAGAGTAAGAAACATTAATCATGTAGGCTGATCGTTAGTTAAACGACATCTTCAGGCACGATCTTTCCCTCATCCAGTGAAACACACTCAGGAGCACCAGACTCATCTAATTTCAATAGCAGTGAGAAAGGGAAACAATGGACCGGAACAGAGCATATGCGCAACTCCAGATGGACAGGAACAGGACAGCTAAACGTGAACCCACATCCGGGTATCGTAAACTTTCAGCTGATGGTCAATGGATAGAAAAACAATGCATAGTCTGTGTTACAGAATCGCAAATGTGCAGACACACATGTAGACGTGCACTTCTTAGAGGGTAGCATGGAGAACACACAAGTATGATTACGGAAGCAAAAGCCGTGTATATGTGCGCTTGCATTAGGGCAGCTCATTTGCATAGACGGACGAACCAGTGTGAAACGAACAAGGATCAATGACTGATCGATGGAATCGGACTGATGTGCAAGTCAAGGAAGGGGCAGTTGAAAAAACACCATCGGATCGTGTGAAACGGTAGACAGAAAGATTGAGTTTCGTCATTGCTAGTAGAGGTGAAGCGTAGGTCGGTTCCATATTAGCACAAATAAAGTTGATACCTGAGTGAAAAAACCGAAACCTTGAAACGATGGTTTATGTTGTATAGTGTCTAGGTAAAATGAAAAACGATCTGATCAGTTGCTCGGAGATCGAGTAGTTTGCTTGCTTAATCCTCGGATCGATCCCCAGTTTGTTTGATGAATTCAAAGTGCTCGTGAGACCAGACCGAGTTGAAACAACTTTTCGGTGTTTCCCAGCTTTTCAGTTCACGTTTCGTTTGCTCTATTCTCCACGAAATTCACTATAAGAAATCCAAAGGATTGACAGAGTACGGTTTATTTACTCGTATTGTGATTCCATAGCACGCTGGTTGGTTACTTTTGGCAATGAGTCCCGGATTGCGCAGTCAAACGCTTTAATTCGCTAGTACTGACGTGTGTTGCTCCGCCACAGTCACCCAACTTTGGTGGTTGGAAGCTTGGCTGTTCACGGGATTAATATCACGCCTGTGATAGTGAGGTCTTTGTCGTCCACCACTCTAAGTCCCGGGGCTTGGGATGGTTCTCATGAGTAAACAGCAGGTCCTTGTGACTATGCTATTAACGTCTTCTGCTGTTCAACATATGTATGAAATAATACACACAATGCTCACAATGGATGATTAGTGACTTCATGACTGGTGCGCACCTGGCATCAGCTCATTTTAGGCTGTGAAACTTTGGAGTTCAAGGGTTGAACCATTCACTTTGCTTTACTTCAGAATAACCCGCCTCCAAGAAGATTAGCAATTTTTGTAGAAATTATATACAAGGGACGCACCCAGCGTTACTCCACATCTTTCGAGCAAGCACAATTAGGCACGAAATGTAAAGTACTACCGTGTTGACGCACAGTTTCTCCCAACTCCTGAGAACTTGTTTTACATTTGATAAATTTAGACTTCACTAAAACATGTGTTCTCGTTAGTTAGGCATTACTCAATGTGGGCTTATAAAGTTATCCCAACATTGACTTTACTACTTGGTTGGGGCTCGAGGGATGAATACCGAATAACATCAGTTAGGAATGAATGGAAGCCAGAGGTGTAAAGGTTGAAGTTTACTGTAAACGTCTGTGATTTCAACCAAGCACCAAACTAACGGTCCGAAGCAAACAAAAATAATTGTTTTACAAAATATACGGGGTAAAGAAACAACAAAAAACTATACCATTCCAAAGTTTCATTGTCTGTTCTCGTCACCCATGTCCGATCCGTTGTGGACAATGATAGTGCCGCTTGCAGGTTAGCGGTTAAGTACACATGCAAATGCTCATTGTAAAATGGTACGAAACCAGAACATTGGGAACACCATCCATGAAACAATTATGGTCATACCACGCAAGAGCGAGATAGGATTCATCGATGCAATTACTCACTTCGATGGCTTCTAGGTCCCGAACCGGACAAGTTATTCCAGGAAGCTTCAGCCATACTGTTTGATCGGCTCCGTTGGACAACTGTAAGTGAGTTCTGCGATAAACGATGCGATTGGCCAAGAGATTCGGACACTCGAGTGCCTGCCTCAGCCGAGTCTGGGGCCTCAATAACCAGACCTCCATCAAACAAGGCCTGACGCAATTCAAGTGATAATCGACGTCTATATTCCTCCGGTTTGTCACGAGTTATTCGATGTAACACGGCAGCCGAATAAGCAGCTATATCGGAAAAGGAAATCATAAGAAACAGCACAACTCAAAGTAGGGCCGAAGTCAGGGGAACGGGAACTCAATCATAAAAAACTGGCGATAAGTACTTTTTGTGATACAATGAATTGTTTCAGAGAATGATAGTACGGATAGACTGATATTCTCGACCGGTGTACAACAGTGACCTGATTAATCCACCCAGAGCGACACATTGCATATTCATTTTTGTCAACCACCACCCCATAATCCGTATTGCACTCTGAGTTATCATGTCTTTATTTGTAGTGAGTTGTTCTAGTACTCGTTTAAACCGTAAAGAACAAGTTTTGTTATAATTATCAAGTGATTGGTATACGGTCAGCAGGAACTAAAATAAATCTGAGAGAGGAAAAGGAAATGAAGACCGATCACCTAAATAACGAAGTGCAGCATTACTAACCATAAACACCTGCTGGTCATATGGAAATTGACCTGCAATGAGCACAAAGGTCGTGCTCCATTTTAACCAGGAAGACTGACGTGCCGACATAGATAGTCTTCAGTAAAACACACCGGGAAACGGCATGTGCGCTTGGCACATGCACAACCGAACACACATGACACGATTGATTTATCTTGAACAAATCTGGTTGACATGGTGAACAATATGTCACGATGTTCCGAAACGAACCCAACGTGAAGTCCAACAGACCACCCCACCCCCATTGTTCATCATGATCATCCACCCCACCACACCCACGACCAAAGAGGCGCAGCGTGCGTACCGTCAGCAGCCTCATGCACAGCGCAATACCATCACAAACACACAAAAAGAAGACGTTGGAAGCTAACCGAGGTCAATGCGATATATTGTGCAACAGGGATGACGGTGATGCCGGTAATCGATCTGGTCCTACAAACTGTGTGATGATATATACACAAGGTTCGATTATTGAACACGGAAAAGAAACACGAAGTGGAACTGTGACAAGATAAACTTACCGATATATTCGTTGTTGGATTGGATCAGTTCCGTTAGACGTGGACAAGCCCCCTCTTGTTCAATTGCAGACGCACCGGATGGGGCAGTGGATAGCTGACTGAGGAAGGCGGCTGCAGCACGCTGGAGCGATTGTGATTGAGAGTAAAGTACCTGAGATGGAACAAATGAAGCAAGAGAAAAACAAAGCTAGACCAGTGTGCGGTTCAAACCAACCAAAAGTGATGATCTAAACGGATTGAGTACGATGGGTGTATCATTCAACCATGTTCATGTTCGGATAGTGTGACGTGAGTTGTTACTCAGCGAACAACAAATCGATTCTTACAACGATAAGCCATTGGGAAAATTTTGTGCAACCTTGGTTGTCACAGCTAGTAAACAAGAAGTCCCCGGAACTAGTTAGCATTTTATTCACTCCGGAAGCATTAAACTTGTCAAACGGTGGAGGTGATCAGATGATTCATATTGGCTACCCGATTGCCTACGGCCAAGTCATGTCTTGGTGTTTCTAATGAGCAGTTCCGGATGCGAAGATAACCTACTGCAACTTAATAAAGCGAACTTTGCACATAGCACCAGGTGAGGGTATGAAAACCCTGATTAGGCATTTAGGTTACATAGGTTGCACTGGACTTGCTGGTTGGCTAGGGACAGTGAGTGTTACGTTAGGCAGTTATGGGGTGACCGAGTAAGTCTGTTTAGTATTGAACGATGTAGCACAAAACAAATACAGTCTGGAATAATATGAAGAACAAGTTAGATATTGGGTGTTGCCGGTGTCGAGGCTAGACATCGAGGGCCCTGTGCTGTTGTGAGCGATGATACTAGAGTACGGAAAAACCGACCGCATGCAAGTCGTGCTTGATCCTTGTGATGTTTATTCCTATCACTCAGCAGACAAATTGACAACAACACTTAAAACTCACGCAGGAGGGTTAACAAATCACGAGCGATGTTATCCTCTCCCTCTCATTTACCGCATCATCTCACGCTAAATGAATTACCAGCTGTATGGGAGCCACTGATGACGAGGTTAGAGAAAATGTCGTTGGTTAGAGACGATAAGAAATATGGCCCAGAATAGAAGTCATTG